CGAGAAATGCATATTAAAACAGCATTGAGATTTCATCTCATCCCAGAAAGAATGCCCGCCATCAAGAAAACAACTGATAACAAATGTTGGCAAGGCTGCAGGGGAAAAATGAACACTTCTCTACTGTTGGTGGGAGTGAACACTGGTGCAACTACTGTGGAAACCAGTATGGAGATTCCTCAAAAAACTAGTATTGAAAGTTCCATTCAATCCAGCTATTCCCCTCCTGGGGATTTTCCCAGAAAAACTGAAAAGATCATGTCACAGAGATGTATGTGCACTCGTGTTCATAGCAGCACAATTTGTGATAGCTAAATCTTGGTAACAACCAAAATGCCCATCGACCACAGAGTGGATGAAAAAAATGTGGTATTTTATACAAGGGAATACTATTCAGCTATAAAAAGGATGACCTTGAGGCCTGTATAGATAAATGAGGCAACTTGAGAATATCCTCATTAGTGAGGATAAATAAGACTCACATGAGTAAATATCACATTGTATCTCAAGGGTAAAAAATAATAAAAATTGACAGAATGATGGAATTCAGAATGTATAGATATTGTAAAAGTGAAAGGGAAGGAAAGTGCTCTAAAGGGTATAACAGTATGTATTGTGTGTAAGATAGATGATCATATTACTGAATTTCTGTTGGAACATTGAACAGAAGGGATTGCACTGTCAATTTTTGAGGGTCTAGCCACTTTTATGCTTTGATTTTGTGACTTTGGTAACTATTTATAAGATGACAATGGGTAATGTGTCAACAAGCGATTTTATGTTTAAATTCTGTATTCCTCAATCTTCTTTCTCTTTTTCTATTTTTTTAAACTTTTTTCTTTCATTGAAAATAAAGACAACAATATGCAATATGACAATCATAGTTAAATTTCTTTTATTCTGTCTTGAAAACCTACATTGTTATTGTTTTAGGTTTGTTGTTGTTAATCTCCTTTGCTGTTATCTTTTCTTATCCGTACTGGGAATCAAACTCACAACCACATGCTTGCAAGGCAGGCACTTATGCCACTGAGCTAAATCCCCACCCCTTCTCTTTTGCTTTTTGTTTTTCTTTTAACTTCATTTTTCTTTAAAATAAAAAATAATGTGCATACATTAAAAAAAGATCTATTGCCACTAATGCTGAAAATCTTTAATGAAAGTGAAAGTGAACCAATACTTTCAAAATCATTCCTAGAATCCAATGTTACCCTTTACCAAAACCAGAGAAGGACCTAGTCAAAAACAAAGCTACAGACCAATCTCCCTAATGAATATGGATACAAAAATGCTTAACAAGATACTAGAGAACAGAATACAGCAAATCAAGGACATTATATACCATGACCAAGTAGGATTCAGCCGAGGATATAAACATGGCTCAACATATGCAAATTGTTGCAGTCAAGATTTGCAAGACAAACAACTTAATACAGCATTTATAGGGTTATTTTATAATAGTCACACAATGACTCAAATACAAAAAATTGCAGAAAAATCTATCCATACACTGCAGATCCCAGTAATCTATCTGAGGCCCAAGATTCCATGCTAGTATCTTGTGTGAGTCCAAGACATGAATCTAGCTGAAGACCTAGATCCTGTGATAATGCTCCCCACAGTCCAAATAGAGGTCTACAACCCATGACAATGTCCCATGCAAGTCTGTTTCATGCATCTGTGTTGGAAAGGCCTAAAAGTCATCCACAGAAGCTACAACATATGTGCCAGCGGGAAAAAGGATCTGTGTCAGTAGGCTGAGGGATCTACACTGGAGCCAGGAATTGATATTCAAAGTAAGGACCAGAGCTTCCCATAAAACTACCACAGCCATCCTCAGCAACAACAAGGTCTCAAGCTCCTCCAATGACAGACAACAGCCAAGTTCATATCAGGACACCAGCATGACAAACTTCTCCTGGAGATTGAATAGCACACCATCTGCACACCTCTGCAGCCAGGAAGCAATGCTCAAAGTAAAGACCAGAGCTTCCCCAAAGTGAACTGCAGCCATTGTCAGTGAAACAAGGTCCCAAAGTCCTCCAATGAGGAGAAACACCCGTGTTCATAACAGTTAAGAAGCTCAACAAGCTGCTCCAGGAGAACCAAGAGTAACAAGAGAACCAACAACCCTAATTCTTCCCCCTTTTTATGTTGTTAGCAACAATCTTCAGGTAGACCATCCTTACCCAGCACCACACTGATTCAGTTCAGCTGGGTGTTACAAGTTGCCCACCAGTTTTCAGTCCACCACACAAATCAATAAACGTAATATAGCATATCAACAGAGCCAAAGGTATAAATCACACGATCATCTCAATAGATGCAGAAAAACATTTGACAAAGTCCAATAGCCATTCATGTTTTTAAAAATCTTACAGAAACCTGGACTGCATGGTCCTTACCTCAATGTGATAAAAGCCATCTATGACAAACCTACACCCAACATCATCCTTGATAGTCAAAAACAGAGGACTCAGTCAATTCTGATTGACTCCTATAACCAATACTATGTATAAACTAAATGCTACCCCTGGGGACATCATGTTCAAGATGACCAGGTCCCTGCCATCAGAAACTATATAATTCAGGGCCAATACAATTCTAGATGGCTGGGCTCTTGACCTAAAACTTCATTCTCTATTTTTCTTTTTTTTTTATTTTAAAGAGAAAAAGATAAACAAACAATGAAAATGAGTTTAAAAATGGGTTGTGAGACAGATACAATAATTGATACATTACATACTGTTGTTTTTGCAGTTATTCAGAGTATAGTACACAGCATGATATCTTGTCTAAACAATATTAACATAAAATATTCATTTCAAGGAACAAAGAGAACCAGCTGTATAAGTATCTTAACTATCTTGTGTATACATGTATTTTTTCTCTTTTTTTCCTTTATTCCTCGCCTTTTTCCCTACCACAGTTTGTCTTGTCTTTTGAATGGTTTCTTCCCAATTCACCATATCTATTGCACATTTTGGAACTTCTTTACTTGTTCAGTTTCTCACACTACTGAGACAATACCATTTTTACACATATGTGTCTGATTTATTTCTCTTATGAGTATGGTCTCAAGTTACATCCATTTATCTATAAAAGTCTCCCGTTTATTCTTTTTATGGCCGTGCAGTACTCTGTTGTACTGAAAAAAGCCACACCTTTTACCCACTCCCCAGCTGATGGGCATTTTGATTGTTTCCATGATTTAGCTATTACAAGTTATGCTGCTATAAATGTGTATGCACATATATAACTGTGGTATGATGTTTTTAATTGCTCTGGGAAAATATCCAGAAGGATACTAGCTAGGTTGAATGGGATCTCTAATGCAGTTTCCTGAGGAATATTCACACTGACATTCTGTATTTTTCTTAGCAATACAACAACAAAAAAGCATCAAGCGCTTTCAGAGAGCAAAATTTGCCTAAAACGTGACTGTTATGGTTTATATCTAGATGTCCCTCTAAATTCTCATGAGCTCACAAGTGGGGCTTTCGGTTGGTAACTGGATCATGAATGTGAGATACTGGATTAGCCAAGTGATCAATTTGATATTTTGATATTGGGAGAGAAATTGGAGAGAGAGAGCTGAGTCACTGAGGGTGTGGCCCAGAAGGATGCACGGATAAATCCTTCCTTCTCACTTGATGCTGCTCTGCTTCCTGCCTGCCAGGCCATGAGCTGTTTCTCATCTGCCATGCCTCAGCCATGCTGCTATGCCTTGGCACCAGCTGACTTCGGACTGAAACCTACACAGTGAGCTACAATAAACCTTTCTCCCTTTAACTTGTGGGTGTCATGTATTTTGTCCCAGCAATGAGAAATTAAAACAATGACTTTGGATTTGAATTCCCAAAAGAACCTCCTTGAGACCATAATGTTAAATGAATTTATCAGAGACACATGTTTTAATGTCATACAGCAAGGTTTTCTTTTACATAAAAAAATCAAAGAGTAAAACAAAAAATAATAATAAACAGAGGGATAGCCCTTTTGCAAAAAGGAAGGGGACATAAAGTTGGAGGGAGGAGAGGAAAGAGAATGAAAAACATTAAGGTACATGTACCAAATTCACACAATGAACGCAATCATTATTAGCGCTGACACGTACTCATAAAAATTAAAATTAAAAAGGAAAGCTGAAAAACTACATCTCCAAAAAAGAATTTCTCAGACATCTGAAGAGTATATGACTTGATGAGAGGGTTGGCCAAGGAAGGCCACAAGATGTAAGAGAAAGAAAACGTCCTCTGTCTTCTCTCCTGTCTGAGGAAGGTTGAATGATGGAGGAGGAAAATCGTTCAGACTCTCAGCCTGCGTTTTTATATTCATATGGAGGAAATAGGAACAAATCATCAAATGAATGGAAGATGGAAACATTTCCTAAAGCTGGTGTTAGATGAGGAAAACTAAATGGAAAAGCTAAAAGAAGCAAATACCCTAACACCTGAAAAAACATAGTGGTCAAGGAAACTATGGGAGATGCATACAATTACCTAATGTACAGTCACCATAATACACACACACACACACACACACGTGCATGTCTGTATCATTATATATAATAAAATACTGAAGAGTTTATCATTTATTGTAAGCAAACTAAGAGTTCAAAATAGGAGTATATTGTACTAGTACTTTTTAACATTTAAAAGCACAGAAATATGTCCATAGGAACATGCATTCACTTTTTGCAAGGGAATGAGGGCCTAAAACATCAAGTAAGCACTCTGTCCCCAAGTTTCACCATCAGCCCTATATAACTTTATTAATACGCTTTATCTTAAAATGTAGGGACTGCGGATTAAGCTTGCGTTTATTTTTTCTGACAAAGGATTTCAGTTTCAATAACTATCTCTGTGATTTTAAAAATTCTGAAAACAAACTAACACATAACTAAATGATTGCACAATCACATGTCTGTTATCTCCATTATGAGACATCATAAAATGCCTGAACTAACCAGATCTAGGGTGAGTTCCCTTTTCCTGTACCTTTCAGGGCGGAACTCATCAGGTTCTGGCCAGTATTTTGAGTCTCGGTGAAGAGCAAAACTTGGTATCATCACTCCTGTCCCTTTGGGAAAGGACATTCCATTGATTTCAAAATCTTTTTTGGACATCCTCTCAATTCTGTTAGTAACTGGATATAATCTGAGAGTTTCATTCACGACCATATCCAGATATTCCATCTCCATCATGACATCATAGGTAGGAAATGCCTAGAAAGAAAGAAACAGATTGTGGTAAACTGAGCTTTGAAAATAGTGCTCAACCCAGTCTATGTAGTGCTGTTGAATTGTTAGGAGCCCCAGAGATTAATTCATATTGATAAAAAAATCAGTTACAGAGTATTTCAGTAACTAACTACCTGTGGAGGCACTGGCCAGAGGTATGCATGACACGGATATGCAGAGATAAAGAAGACACATGCCCCAAACTCCCAGAATACATGGTTAGAGATTAAAACTTAGCCTGTAGGTCAAACTCTGAGTAGGCTTGAAACTCATTGCCTTACAGTGTGAATGCTCTGGCCCTCATCCTCTGCATACTCTGACTTAGTACTTAGATAGGTCCTAATGTCAGTCATGAAACAGACCATCCTGACCTTACTTTGCCCTTCTGTCCTGTCCCTTTCTCCTAAATGAATTCATGTATAGAAGTCCTTTGTCCTCCACCCTTGCTTCCTGATACTATCAATAAGAAGTCACAGAAGCTTCACTTTCGGGCTGTCTTTCTGAGGAGTATGGTTAAGGACAGTTCCTCTGGGCCTTTTTCGAGTTTGAATTGAACACTGACTCCAAGTAATCTTTCATTCTTTGTGCTGTGCCTTAGGTGTGAACTGTGATAACTATTATGTTAAATGTGTACTATAGTAATGAATGTAAAATACGTATGGCACAATCCCTACCCAGGGCCTAAAACCCCTAGATTTACCATGTAGTCCTTTTCTTTCTCATGTAAGGAAATTTGACTAATAAATTATGACAATTACACTCTAGAAAATACACCAAAGACATTATAACCTTTCAAGAGAGAAGCCACACATCTATACCCATATAGGAGAACCGGGAGAGGAACAAAATCCCTCATTCCAGCCTAACTACATTGCCCAGGTTGGACTTGAATTCACAATTCTGTAGCCACAGCTTCCCAAGTAAGTGGGCTTACAGGTGTGCAGTACCATACCCAGGTTATGTCAAGGTTTTTATTTCACAACATCTGCTACTAACCCTTTGGATTATGTGCATAAAATTTGGACAGAAATACCACATTAAACCACTCCTCTACAAATAAATTGACACAGAAAATTATTTCTTTTTATTCCATTACAACAAAAGGTTTTGATTGGGTGCTCCCTTGGCAGGCAATTTTAATTCTGATACATGACATGGAGACGTATTATTGTAGCAATAGACAATAGATATGCCAAGACCAGCATTGCATTACAAAGCTCTTACTTTTCTATAAATAGTATAAAGTTTCTATGTTTCACCCCTTAATTGTAACTTCAGATCCTTCCTACTTGTAACTAGTGCTAGTAAATAAATCAACACTGCCTGTGTATAAAAATTCTTGCTGTAAATAATAATAATTTCTTAAGTGCTGACTTCTTTCTTCTCTTCCATGTACTGTCCACTTACCTTATTGGGCAAAGTTTTATCAATCTCCTGCTGCAGTTTCTTCTGCACATCAGGGTGGGTGGCCAATGAATACATAATAAAAGAAAGAGTGCTACTAGTGGTCTCATAACCAGCAAAAATAAAGATAATTGACTGGGCCAAGATCTCCACATCAGACAGAGCTAGAAGTAATGGAAATTTATTTCAGGTAAAGTAGATCAAGGCAGTATATCACTATTTAGATGAGAAAAACACAAATAAAGCACTCATATCCCTAGAAAACCAATTCAAAATCATGCTGGGACTGCTTTTCACTGTAATGGCCAAAAAATGGTGAAATTAATTCAGTTACATTGAAGTCTATATTACTCTTAGCTACCTCCTCCTCTTATGCCATCCATACCACCACCACAGCTGAATAGTTTAACTAGCGTACATAGGATTAATAGTATATCCGTTGGATGAGCATAATATTACCTATCAATAAAACATGGAGTGGCTTTGTCTCTCAAAAAAGTTAAAGTGACTCAGCTAAAACACAGCTGAAAAATTATCAAGACAGTTTGTGTGACTAAGTCTTCAATGTATGGAAAACAGAAGTTATGTGCTCTAGATACATGTGTGGCAATTTAAGCAAACAACACTGAGCTGAAGAGAAACAATTATTACTCAGTGTATGATCAGAAAACTAGGAGCATCTGAGTCATTATTAGAAACAGAGTCTCAAACCCGCTCAGAGCTACTACGTCAAAATTTAAACTCCCATTAATTGCAGTGAGTTGTGTGCACAACTTAAATCAAGAAAAGGGGATCATACTTTTGAGAATCATCTGGTCATAAAAAACCTGGGAACACTCTTCAAAATGAGTGATCTTAGGGGCTGGGGATTTAGCTCAGCGGCATAAGCGCCTGCTTTGCAAGCAGGCAGTCGTGAGTTCGATCCCTGGTACCGATAAAACAAAAAAAAAGACCAAAAAAAAAATGAGTGATCTTGAATGGACAGAAACTACAGAACAAGCCAAAAAGCTTAAAGCATAATGACTGACGCTAGCCTAATGCAGGTCAGTAAAAAACAAAACAAAGAATGTGCACATTAAAGGGTACTGGGCATAAAATACAGTAACACAGGACCTAGTGAGTGGAATTGGTAATGCTTATTCAGCCACAGCATCAGTGTCGTTTTCATTTAGCACATGTCCCCTCTCTCTGTTCTACTTTATGCTCACCAAACTGCCCTTCTGATTATAAGTTGGCCTTCCTTTCTATTTTCTTCTGAAAGACAGAATCACAGTCATGCAGTTGTCTATCCAATCAGGACTTGAATCAGTCCTAGCAGAAAATTGGAGCCTTGAAATAAACATACTGCCTACCAAAACCATCTAATTTAAAACTAAAAACAATGTAAAATAAGGATGAGAAGGTTCCTCAGCATTCTGACTTATAGATGACAAAGTCAACTATCATCTTTTTATATTTATAGATGATAAAATCTACGATAAAGTTAATTATCACCTTGTTCTCTCACTTAGCACAATTCCACATCACTGCACTGAAACTGAGCTATAAATGCAAAGTTTAGAGTCTGCCGTCCACTATGGTATCATGCAGCCACCTGAGGCTATTTTTTAATGAATGAAAATGAAATACAATTTAAACTTTAGTTCTCCAATGACCCTAGCCATCTGTACTCAGTGGTGATCACATTGACTAGCACAGAAAAAGCAATATTTCCTTCATCACAGAAACTTGTATGAGACCAGAAAGCAGAGAGAAAGGTTAAAGATAGGTGGGTAGAAGTGGATTTAGATGTGGATGTATGTGGGGTGGTGTACTGTGGAGATCCCATTTCCAGCCTAGAAACCATATTTAAGGCTTTGGTGAGATGACTGTCACACTAAGGGTAGCTTGAATTTGACATAATAGAATTATTATAATTATATCAAAGAAATAGGCTATATGTCAGAAATTCTTAAGTAACAAAGAGAAAGAAACAGCAAGCCTCTGCATGCAACAATATGTTGATAGACAATCTTTTTATATTTCTTAGCTCTATGAAAATATATTTGATTTTCTTAGTCCCCTCCACTTGAGGATGTACAAGGAAGAAAGATCTCAGGAGACACAACGACATTAGACCTGTTTTTTATTCCTAACTAGCATTTCTCACTAAAGGGATCCAGAGACTTGTGGAGAAATGGCTGATTCTAGGGCTATCAGGGAAACAAAAAAGAAACCTAGAATATCTCCCACCAGAAAGCAAGATATGTAATCTCAGCACCGGATGGGCTGAGGCAGGAGGATCACTGCAAGTTTGAGTCTAGCCTGAAAGTGAGTTCAAAGGCAGCCTGAAATGCAAAGCGAGACTTTGTCTCAAACACACAAAAAAATAAAAAATAAAGGCTATGCCCAGAAAATGGCCTTTGAAAAAGACTCAGAATACTCTGGGCTTTTCTATAATGACAGATGTTATCCTTTGACACTTGTCAAAGTCTATATAATTTTGTAATCTGTGATGGAACCCCACTGTAAACTATGAAGGTTGGGCCATTCATGATGTGTCTCTTTTAACACTGTTGTACCACTATAGTGGTGAATAGTGGAGTGTTTGGGAATGTATGTAAATGTAGAGGCAAGAAATATAGAAATTCTCTATACCTTCTCCTTGCTTACAGTATGAACTGAAAATCATTCTAAAATTAAATCTATTCTAACAATTAAAATATTTAAAAGGAAGAAAAACAAATACAGTAGGTCATATTAAAGGGAGAAATCTGAAAAATTATAAATACAAAATAAATAATGAAAAGAATACATCAGGAATATATAAGATTACATTTATGCACATAATAAAATATATTAAAAATAAATAAATACATAAGAATGAAACATTCCCCTCTTCCATTAGGTACTGGTTGCCAAGTGTAGAAAAATGATGGAATTTGAAAGTCATCGTTTTGTAACTGATATATTAATAACAGTGGTCATAGCAAAGTCCATGGATCAAGAAAAGACAAAGAGGAAGGGAAAAGAGGAGGAGAGAAAGGACTTTAAATGACCAAGATGCAATACATATATATGTATATATATGTATATATATATATATACATATATATATACATATCAGTTCACCAAAGAAATGTAATTATTATGTATCACACACATACACCAATAAAATTTTTTAAAAGGAATAGAGGACTGAAGTTTAAGCAAAAGGAGTCTGGGAAAGGATATCTAAAGGTATATGGTTTTGCACATATATGGATTCTTAAGATGATAAAAATGATCTACTACTAATTGTGGTTATGGTTTTACAACACATGATTATACAAAAATATTGTTTAATCAAATACATTAAATGACTGAATCAGGTGGGCATGGTGGTGTAAGCTTGTAATCCCAGCACTAGGGAGGCTGAAGCAGGAGGATCACTACAAGTTCAAGGCTAGCCTGGGTTACATTGTGAGTTCAAGGTTAGCCTAAACTGCAGAGCAAGATCCTGTCTTGAAAAAAGTAGAATGAGAGAGTGAGAGAGACAGAGACAGAGACATAGAAAGAAAAGAATGAAAGAAAGAAAGAAAGAAAGAAAGAAAGAAAGAAAGAAAGAAAGAAAGAAAGACAAGATTGAATTGTATGGTTCAGAAATTACCACAATAAAGCTGTTAGTTTTTTTAATTCATGGATGATAAAATCAATGGGTGAATGTATGAAAAGGAAAAATATATTTACAGTGTCAAATTGTTTCTCATAGAACTTATTCACTGTTGAAGAGAAAATAGGCCTATATTCAATTAACCTAGTGAACATACTTTCACCAAGTACTCATATGGAACATCACTGTTTTGGGCATTATATCTCTGATCAGAAATATAGATGAAAATTTCCAGGCAGAGTTTCTAATTCCCTGAGTATGGCTGACGCCAAAAATCATCAGTATTGGCAATGATGCAGGTGACCCTGATAATTTCTCGCCTTCAAATGCTGGGTGTTTGGTTACCCTTTAGGCTTTGAACATACTCCAGCCTGTGTGCTTCCAGAAAGTGCCTGAAGCTACCACATATGATATCTGAGTTTGGGTCTTTCCAAAATTGTGCAGAAATTCTCCTCTGCCTGGAAATCCTGTTCCACTCTTCAGAACAAATCTTTCCCTCTGAGCTTTGCCATCAGTAGACCATGCAGCATCCTTGGTTACCTTTATGAGATTCTGTGTCTTTAAAATTCTGGGAGTTTAGCATCATCTGAAGAAAGTCCACTCGTTGCTAGAAGAAAGACAAATTTCAAAAACAGAAGGTCCATCATGAAGTCACAAGTAAATCAAGAGCAAAGAACTGTTCCTCCTTCCTCAATATGGTCCCTTCTAGTTCAAAAGACTAGTTAGTACTGAGTCATCAGTGAAGGACACTGTGTGTACACCTTGGAGAATAATATGCTTCCTAGAGGAAAAACCAGTTATCCACCCAAGGACTTTTGGCCTTTGCCCTCCCACATTTGCACTCTGGTTTCCAGTCATAGATTTGTGGCCAGACAGTGGTTTATTTCTTCTCCTATTACACTTCATTGTTCAAGAAGAACTCATAGACTCCAATACTTTCTGTCCTCTTCCCTTAATTCTTAAAATAATGGCCTATAGATTTATTGGCTGCCATTTCCAGAGTTCATTGTGAGGTTTGTGTGATCACCTTCAAATATTCAACACACCCAGAACACTAACAAAATCCTCACAAACACCTATCCTGTCTTCTTAATCTGCTGAAATTCTTGTTTCACCTGAAACAAAGCTGGGTTTCTAGCATCACAAATCTAAAATAGACCCCTGCACATTCCATGCCAATAAATAAATTCAAATTTAACACAAACTGAACTCTACCAGGTCCCAGTAAGAGCCTCCACTGGACAATGTGTCATGCAAGAGGCTTAGAACTGAAATAATTCTTTACCGATATAATACCTACAATTTTTAAACAGTATTTTTATTCTTTAACAAATTTTACTGGAGATTGAACCCAGGACCTCTTTTATTCTTTAATAATTTTTGAGAAAAGGAAAATGATAAAGTTCTTGTTTTAACAATTCTTCTGCCATGACACACTGAATTTATTCCTAGTTTTCAATGTTAAACTCTCTCTAACTCATTTTCATGCAGACTTCTCCACCTCCACCTTCTTATTTCCTGGAAAATGTAAAAACTCTGCTGCTCTAAATCTAAATTCTCTATTAAACAGAGAAGTGTACAGATCACATATATACAGCCTGAAACATTATTAAAATACTAATATCCTCATGTCACCACCACCATCACCACCTCATTTTACCTTCTTGTTAGATTCCAGATGATTTTCTTTTGTCTTTTTTACAAATTTTGTGAAAAATTTCAAAGAATCTCGTGGAAAAATAGAGATACTTAACATCTCATACAGTTGAGTGAGGAATGGAAACATCACTACACAGAAAAGAAAATTCCATCTTTAACAAAAATACAAAATTTACTTTTTTCAATTATGCTTTCCTGAAACAAAACACTAAAAGTCACCATTTTGACCAGGAGCCATTAGTTGTCTGACACGTGGGCTCAGGAAGTCAGTGGGGACTGAGCAAGGGAATGTCACACAGAAGCCCACAACATAACGATGAGATCAGTGACCCCTTCTTCATTTCAGAGTGACCAAAGGATGCTTAAATTTCCTAACTTCTTACCCTTTTCTCTAGTGGAATAGAGACTTTTTGGGGGTAAACCAGACCACGATGATCTCGCTAATGATGGTATTCAAGAAATTGCAGTCAGTATAAACTAGTTCGCCATCGAGTAAAGCCAAAAAATCAAGAACACAAAATTGGAAAATTCATTAATCCATACAAATTAATTGACACCCTCTGAAACGAACAACGAGTCAAGGGGCAATTTGGAATTCTGTTGAAATGAGTAAAACTGAAGGCACACTATTCCAAATTTGTGAATGTGCAAAAGCAGTAATCAGAGGAAACTTCACAGCTATAAATTTGTAAAATCTCAAATGAATAATCAAACTTTACACAAATCACTAAAAATAAAAAGAAGAAACTAAACCTAAAATGAGCAGAAGGATGAAAGTAATAAAGACAAGCTAGAAACTAATAAAATATGAAATACAGAAATCAATAAAGCAAGAAGCTAGTTCTTAGAAAATATCATCAAAATTGGCAAACCTCTACAAAGACTTACCGAGAAAAAAGGATAACTTAAGTTACTAGTACCCAAAATGCAAGAAAAGAAATTACGGCTGACATTTAAAATTCTAAGCATCTTGTGAACGAGATAAAGACATCATGGTACAATGATATGTGAGTATCCATAGTTATAGCAGCACAATTCATAATAACTAAATCTTAGAAAAAGCCTATATGTTCCTCAACAGGTGAATGGACAAAGAAAACATGGTCTTCACACACAGAGGAGTCCATGTGTCGGCCAGGAATGTAGCTCAGCACCACAGTACCTGCTTGGCAAACAAGAGGTTTGATTCGTAGTACCAAAATAAAAAGGCCATGTGTCATGGTTCACTGAATTCTGACAAAGATGCCTGACCCCTGAATGGGTAAAGATAATCTTTTCAAAAAATGATACTGGGAGAACTAGATAGTCACTATAAAAGAGTAAAGAGGGACTACTGAATATAAATCCTAACTCAGAATGTATCAAAAATGAAAATATAAGATTTACAATTATGCAAGTCTTGAAAGAAAGTCAAGGGAGTAAATTTTCATGATCTCAAGTACAGATTCTTAGAGAAACCAAAGCACAAATAAAAATGAAAACTCATCTATTGTACATTATCAGAATTGAAAATTGTAACTTTAATAGACACTGCCAGGAAAGTAGGTGAAAAAAGTTGCATGTCATGTCTCTAGTAAAGGAACTGTACCCAGAAATTATAAGCAAATTTTGGAACATAACAAAAATAATTAAACTTACAAAAAATAAAAATAAATATTTTATCACATGTTTGTCTTAAGAAGATATTGCACAGAATCATTAGCACCAGTGAAAGGAAAATCAAATCCATAGTGTTATCCCATTTCAGACTCATTAATATGGATATAATTAAAATCATGAGAAAACCAAGTGTTGGATGGGATGGAGACAAATGGAAAACATTCTGTCAGTTCCTTAATAAGATAAACACAATTACATTGTAACTCAGCTGTACCACTCCTGTGTACGCACCCAGAAACATTGAAAACCAGTATTTAAACATAATCTCTTGAAGAATTGTTCATAAAACAGTATTTATAATAACTAAAATGCAAAAATATCTCAAATATTTATCAACTAACAATGAGTGATAACTTTGTAAGCTTTGATCCTGTGACCTGAAGCACTGTCTCTAAGATGATGGTGTGTAATCTAGTAATTGTTGATATCTTACTGGTTTTTCTTGAGTTCTGTATTACTTGTACCCTTACACTGTTTTGCTTTGTTTTGTTCTGGTTTTTTTATCTCTTTTTCCTTTTAAATAAAATTTAAAAAACAATGAGTGATAAGCAAAATGTATCATGGTGCCCTAAAAAATAAAGTACGTTGGACATATTTCACTTAAAAATATAATGCTAAAGGAAACATTCCAGTCACAAAAGACCATATATTCTATAGTTCCATATATATGAAGTGCCTAGAAAAGGCAAATCTGCAAAAACAGAGTAAATCAGTGACTGATAGGGGCAAAGAGTATGGGAATTGAAAGTGCAAAGGTATAATGTTTCTCAGGTAATGAAAATATTCCTACAATTACAATGTTGATGGATGCATATTTCTTTTGTAAGAGTACTAAAAACATTGTATTGCCTATTTTAACAGGAAAATTGTTCAATATGTGACTTATGCCCCCAATAAACTATTACAATAAAAAGAGGCAGGTAGGAAGTTGAAGAGGGAATAGTCTACATACCTATTGAGAGAAGAAATGGACTCAAAAAATCAAATCTGAAGAGCTTCCTGGCTTTTGACACAAAGGGATCATGTGGGTTGTTGAGGGAATCAACGTTCACCCCAAATGCTGTTGCAACGATTATATCCATGCTGTAGGCCCCAAAGATTCTGGGTGAAAAAACAGGAGAAACTAAAGTCTGCACCTCTTCTTTTACAAACTGTTCAGGAAGTGGGACTCAGTCATACACCAGAAAGACGTGGAGAGCCACATTAGGTCAGAAGAACTACACGCAGGACCAGCTGAACGCTCTCTGCTGCCGTCACTCTCACTCATGGGGTTGTTAAAGTGAGCCAGTGATATAATTGCCCTTGTGCTCGGGGTGATGAGAACCTAGGTGAGTTAGACTCTGAGCTTGTGGCATTCAGTCATTGAGACTCACAGGCAGACATACTGCGGCAGTATGTGTGGAATGTGGAAGATAAATGTGTAACCACCATTTAGCAGGACTCTTCCTAGGGGACTCAAAAGCTGATACTGACCTAGGTCTTGTCTCACCACACAGTGTGCCCTGAGCTGATTCCTCTTCAGCACATCACACATCAGCAACACCCTGTTCTGAACACCCAGAAAAATCATTCCTCCTTCTCAGCATCCCTTATTCAACTTCTTGATAGATCTAGTCCATCCCCAATACAAGAGTCTGAGGCTGCCCTGGGGCAGAATCATTTTGGTATAACGTAAAAAACAAAAATTGTCCTCATTAATATTTATAATATTGAATGATAATTATATTTAGCGTGTGGTTATACATGCATGTCATCCCAGTACTTGGTAGACTGAGGGCAGGAGGAGCAGGAGTATAAAGCCAGCCTGGACTACACAGTGAGTGCAAGCTCAGCTTGGACTACTTAGCAAGACTTTGTCTTTAAAAACCAGCCAGGTGTGGTGGTGCATGCCTGTAATCCCAGCACTCAGGAGGCTGAGGCAGGAGAATTGCTGTGAGTTCAAGGCCAGACTGAACCACACAATGAAGCCCTGTCTCAAAAACAATTTAAAATATAATAATTATTGCTATTATCACATTGCTGTTGAAAACTGATTCGCAAGATACAAGAGTTAAGTGACCTCATGTCCCCAGTTTTCCCAGTATGCTCTGTAGAGTATCTATATATTTTAAAATGTCAGGTTTACACAATCATTGATATAGTTGTGCTCTCTCTCTCATTTTGCTCTCTCTGTCTCTGTCTCCGTCTCTCTCTCTCTCTCTCTCTCTCTCTCTCTGTCTCTCTCTCTCTCTCATAAAAGGAAGGAGAAATGGTTTAAAGGTTAAATATTTAAAATTTTACTCTACCTAAAAAGTACCATGATGAGGTTTAAGCTGTTTGAAGCTTCACGTGGTATTTCCTGCCCCATCCACTGACTTTCACTGTGCACCAAGTAAATTCTCCTACTATTCCTCAAGCTTTACACTTACAACATTTTAAGGTCATACCTCTTCCTTCAAAAGCATGTATCTTATGCCTTGATAGCCAAAGTGATGAATAACTTTGGTTCCGGTACTCAATGGAGAAAACACTTCGCCCCCCAAATGCCCTGTCTTCTCTTGGAATCCACCCCTTTTTGGATGAACTATTTTAGCTGTAACACCACTCCCTGGTTTAGCACCTGTATTTAATACATGGCTGCTGAAGTAACTTAACAATGAGAATTTCAGTTTTTTGCAGACAGATATAAATTGAGGAGCAATCTGAGGCATCATGTAGTTTTCTGAGGCAACTACAGGGCATCATGGCAACTTGGACATTAAGTGGGTGCACTTAGTTTTTCAACTAAGAACAGATACTTACTCCTTCAGTTGAACAGGTTTGCCTTTCTCTGCTTCTTGTCTCAGGTTTTTGACCAACACATCTCCATACTGTTTAATGATGGGGAACATCTATGCATAAAACACAACACCATTTTTAACTAAATCCGTGGATTCAGGCCCAAGAACCATAAGACATTATCAATCATGAAGCAATATTTGACATTTTTATAATTAAGTTTATAATGGGTCTTCCAGGGCATAAAGGCAAAAGACCATTCTGACAAAGCCACAACTCAGAGGACTACACCTTGTACAGAGAAGAGGATCTTAGTTTCTAACTGTCCCCAGATCACTGCTAAGTTCTCAATTAAAATCCTCTTAATTTCTTACTTCCTTGAGTTTTCCACTGGTGAAGTTTGGAGACAACTGTGTTCGTATTCTCTTCCATTCCTCATCCTCAGATAGGGAGACAGCTTTTTTCATAAATCCTACTGGAACAAGCGACTAAAGCCCCAAGAAAAAGACAATTTATCATTCTTAAGCATAGAGATCATACACTTACAGAACATCTGTTAAGCATGCAGCACTTGTCTGACATTTGGTGACTATTAGGTGGCAGACCCCATGATAGGTGCTCAATAAGTATTTGTCATGACTGCCTTGCCTTCTGTGAGTGCGCTGAGGACATCTAGCCACCTGGTGCAGTTTCAAGCCTTTATATTTCAGTTGCGTTTTAAATACAAATGCCTTTGGTCATGGGAAACTTAAATATAAATACAAATTGTCAGAGAAAACTGTTCTTTCAGATTAAGAGACTAGAACAGTGGTGGCATGCGTATGGCGCACATGTTACAACAAATTCTTATGATGGAAAGCTCTAAAAGACGTCCTTCATCTTCCAAGATTGTGCGGTATAGAAATGGTTGGTGACAGAAAGGAGGCTTGGAAAATTATATAATGCCTCAGACCGATCCTCAATTTATATCCATCTGCAGCTAGGGTAATGTAGAAAAATAGGGATATCTTGCTATGATGATTTTTTAAATTATAAATATGGAATATTAAGAACAATGCACAATTCTTTATTCAGGAATACAATGAAAGAGAAATGTAATTCTATTTCCTAGTTATTTTTCTCATTGCTAAGACAAAACCTGAACTTAAATGATGAAAGGTTTATTTTGGTTCACAGTTTGTAGAGGCTTCAGGTCATACTTGGCTGGTTCAAGGCAAAGTGGCGAGGCAGGGAGAGTAACAGAGGAATAACAGATCATGGCACACATAAGGCAAGAGGCAGCAAAGCAATGAAGTAGCAAGCAGAAAGCAACAGCAACAGGTCTCTTTCTATGCCGTACGTGCTATTCAGCATTGCTCACAAGCAGGGTAGGCCTCCCCATGTCCACACCCAGAACTATGTGAAACCTATCAGTGGGAGCCTTTAGTAATCATAAACCCTTAGTCCCACTATCATACAACTCATTTCCATACTCTAGATCCAGCCATCTCTAAAAAACCGACTTATGACTACATGAGGCTTTGAGAGGACATTAGACACAAGCCATAATAATTTCCCTACTTGGAACTATTTTCCAGCTTCCTTAACTCCATTTTGTTTTAAAATGAAATCTTTGATATTCCTTTATTGTTAAAACTCAAAAAATTGGGGAAAGGGGAAGCTTTTTCTCTACTTGAAAATAGAAGGTACAGAAAATTCTTCAGATAATCTCACTCTGCATGGTGAAAGATGCAGGGTTCCTTAAGAGTAGGAACAATTTTTTAAAATCTAGTCTCAACACTCTCACTCGGTGTCATGCTGGAAGTCCTAGGGCGAACAACAAGAAAAATAAAAGAGCTTCAGACTACAAAGAGAAAGATAGAAGTGTCCATATCTTCAGGTGAGATAATAGTCAAGGCAGATCTCAAAGATTACACACACAAAAACAACTTCTATAACTAATAAGTTAGTTCTGCAATATTGTAGGATTTGAGGTCAACAAAAATTAAGTAAGAGTTGTATGTAACAACAGTAATATGTGGAAACAATAAGAAAGCAATACCATTGACAAATGCTGCAAAGAAAATAAAACCTGAGGTATAAAGTTTTAAGAAATTTATATAGTGTCTCTATGCTGAAAACTATAAAAAGTTGATGATAAGAATCAAAGAAAACCCAAAGAAGTAGAGAGGCACAGTGTGTTCATGGACTGGAAGCCTCAATTTTATAAAAATAAAGATTTCACCTCCATATTTATCTATAAGTTTAATTCCATTATATCAAAGTACAAAAAGACTTTACAGACATAGACAAGATTTCTGAATTTGAATGGAAAGTCAAAGGGTCAAGAAGCTAAAACAATTTTGGGAGCAGGGAAAGTGGGAGGAACCACTTTCTATAACATCATGACTTACTATGTTGCTACAATAAACAATAATATAAAACTGGAGAAGGGATAGACAGAGGGATCAAGGAAAGAGAACAGAGAACTAGACCTATAAAAATAAGCCAAACTGAGAAAGACTGAGTTTGACACTTCTGGGGCTATACCAGAGTAATGAAGGTGAGAGAAAAAGCCTCTCTGAGATTTGATGTCCAGATGCTGGAATATATCAACGTGAGGAAGAGAAAGAGGAAAGTGAATTCCCAACACCCAGTAAGGATATGAAGTAAGACCTGAAGCCCACTGAAAGAATGAAGAGAAAGAACTTCAACAAAGGAGATGGCAAGTGGCATTTTTCCCTAAACCCTGACTCATCCAATCTGCGGATAGATAGTGACTAATGTCCTCCACAGAGAAATGCACCAGTGGAATAAACCAGTGGACTCGGAAAGCAGCAGGGGCTGGTGAGTTATTTGGGTTTGCACAGTGTTCAGGACAGGGCAATTGGTCTGTAACCATCTTGGAGAGAGGAAAACTGAGCCTGAAATTTAGAGTAACTGTGGTCTGGCTCCATCTAGTGACTCCCAGTGTCAGAGTTAGGAGGAACAGAGTTCAAGTCAGCCAGAGTTCAAGGAAACAAATTCAAGCTGGAAGGACACATGCACAGTGTTTCAGGTTGAACAAATCAGGGTCCAGCCTCACAGCCAGAAACCAATGGAACTGAAAACAACCTGAACTTCGGGCTTGCTGGTACTATCAACTACACTGCCGTAAATCTGCAGCTGGCTTGCAGGGATTAATCATCAGGGACACAGACCCTGCCAACTTTGTCTACCACAGCAGGGACAAACCTTGAAGTGGATTTTTTCCTTTTCTCATTTTTATCAGCCTCCCACTGCTGGGTTTACAGGTATGCACCACACACCCAGCCTTCTTTTCTCTTGATCAATTATTCTCCCTTCTATATGAAGATGAACATTGTTTCTAGTTTTGATGTTGTTATTGTTGTTCCTGTTCCATTCTGTTCTGTTCTTGTCTTTGTTTATTTCTTCTTTTTCCCTCCTGCACTCTGCACCAGCTTTCCAAAGTTTATCTAACCTTCTTTTGTTCTCCAACCTTGCTTTTAATCTCTTCCTCTTCTTCTGTTTATCTGTTTTTCCATGAACACTTTTTAAATATTCTTCCATGATAATAAAATCATCATATCAAGGGCATATTTATGTTATACAATTTTCTGGTTTGTTTTACTTTTTCTTATGTAAATACAAATATAATTCATGTGGAAAAAGATATCAAACTAATAATTACCAAAGTTTGTCATTTTCAGTCTTGTGATTGAATCTATTGTTATTGCTTATTGCACTACATTTCCAAGGTGACAAAATTGTTCTAATCAGCTGTTCTCAGTGTTACCCAAAGGTTGTGAACAATACTATAGGCCAGCACCAAAGAACAAAGGGCTAGGCCAAGTAGGTAGCAACTTCTCATCCCCAATAAATTGAGTAAGCGGACCTGAAAGCCAGCTACACCTGTAAGACATTTCTGACAGTAATCATTTCCTAAGAGTAATAAATACTAAAATAGGGGAGAGAACACGGATTCACCAAGAAGCAAGCCCTCCCTGTGAACCAGTGCCATGCATGTGCTGCTGTTGGGAGCCAGACTTCAGCTCCTTCTGGCATAATAGACCCAGTAAATGACCAGCTGGTCTGGAGAAACACAGGCTGCAATGATAGCTATTGATAGCTATTGAAGTGAAATAAAATTTAATTATTGTGGTATTTTGGTGTTTCACTGACCTTACAGGTAGAGGGCCAGTGGTCAGATCATCTGTCAGAGGATGATGATACACAGTTTGGCATCTAGAGGGGATCTCCTTTGAGGGTGACAGTCATTGCTAACTTGCTATTGTCTTGTTTTGAAGTCCTGTATCATTTTCATTGTTTTGTTGGTTTGGGTTTCATGCTATTTTGCTTTGTTTGATTTTGTTATATCCAATGGCATGAGCAGCTATTCGAAAGATAGCAAGATATACTACAGTATCAATTTTGGATTTACTATTGTCTTGTTTTGAAGTCCTTTATTGCATTCACTGTTTGGTTTTATTCGTTCTACTCTGTTCTCTTCTGTTTGGTCTTTACTATGTCTGAAGGACGTATCTGCACCTATTTTGAAGACAACAAGAGGCATTATGGTAACTATTGTTGATTTTGTGCTGTTTTTGAAGCCCTGTATCATTTACACTGGTTTGTTTTGATTTTATCATGTTTTATTTTCCTTGGTTTTATCTTCTTTAAAATACAATTTTAAAAAGTACTAACAATAATGCAATTTGGCATAAGCAATTTACAATCATCAACCTAGAAATTAAACTTTAAAAAATACAAAATGAGAAGATGCAACTCCAGACTTCTAGCTCACCAAAGGCAAAACTCAGGAGCAACGAGGTGGAATAGTTTGAAAGTCAACTACCTGGACTCTCGGAAGTGGTTACAGCAGAAGTAAGAAAGTAAAAAAAAAAAAAAGAGGCTCTAGAAAAACCCAAGCCAGAAATAATTTCTCAGATAGCTACAGGGCGGTGACCATATGAAAGACACGGTTAGTGACTTTAGGGTTGATACAGATTTTTAAAGAATAGAGGAGCTTAAAAATATGATGGAAACCATGAACATCCAACATAGGGAAAAAATAGAATACAAGAAATACATTCAAATAGATGTCCAGGAGACTAAAAACTCCATTGAAAGTACACATACCAGAATGAGCCAATATGAGGAAAGCATATCATATCTACAAGACAGAAATGCAGTTAGGGATCATGAAAGAGCTTTCTTATGAGAAAGCAGGATACAGCACAAATGACATAAAGAAACTGTTCTGGGAAGTAATGACGTAAAACATCCTCAGCAAGGAACAACATTATGACATTCACATAAATGAAACATATGGAACTCCAGTTAGCCATGTTGAAAACAAAAATCTGCACCAAAGGATATAATACTCAACACTCCATATATTCAATACAAGACTAAAATATTAAAAGCTGTTAAGAGAAAAGAAACAAATAACCTAGAAAAGAAAACCCACCAGAATCACAGCAGACTTTTCTTCAAGAAAAGGAAGACG